ATAGATTTTTGAGGCATTGGTAGATCATTGAAGAAGGATAAATTGTAAATAATTAAACTTTTTAGAAAAATAAATAGTCACATCATAAGTTACGTATGACAAAATATAACAATCTTTTTACTCATTTGCTCATAAAACTGTAAGTTTTCAATGTACTAAAAATGTAATAACACTTTACTATTTGATATTTAACGACAAAATTACAATTCATATAATTACAACAAAAATTGTTAAACTATTATTTAATTTATACTTGCCAACTGGCAATGTCACAAAATTGTCCAAACTAAAATAAATCGTTTTCAAATAACATTGATCATGATTACTAACAGAGATTAAAAAATGTACAGCTATAAATTTGGTATTAATGCGTGCGTTTAACATAATTAGCAAAATCACTGTACGTATTTACTAGGAGTTAATTTATGAAATAAACCGTTATTATATTTAAATTAAAAATATTCAAATGAGTAAATTACTGAATTATAAATGTAATTCTAAATAATAAGTAATGGATTAATTTAAAAACAAACGTTGTTTTCAGTTTGCGGATTTCAATAACCTACCATCCAATATAAGTGTCTATATCCGAGTAGGGCTTATATATTAATGTGATAACATGGCATTTTCATTTTAATCTAGATCTTTTTTTTACATAGACAAAAAGTATAACATTAACGCATATATGCACTGCGACACACCCAGTTTATCGCAAAATAATGAAAATAAATATCCAAATATATTTACAAATATGTCAATGTCGAGTGATATTAAATACCAATATTTTTAATAGACAATCTTCAATTTTTACCTGTAAGACGTCCAAATAGCCAATTTCTTTACTTCGTTTTTTATTACTTTGCTACCAACTGTGTCTGCAGAGTAGTTTATTTTAGTAAAAACAGAAAATGTGTATTTATAGGTACATTTGTACATTTGTAGGTACATGGATGTAGGTGTTCTATTTTGTTTTATGCCAGATTGTTCAATTCATTGAGACTATAGTGACTTAATCAAATTATATATATATATATATATATGTATAAGATACAGTTAATTTTATCGAACATTTCCTTTTTAATTATAGTTAATATTTTAGTAAATGTATTTAAGTTTAATAAATATCTTAAACTTTGAGTAAAATAAAATTTTAAGTATACTTCCAAATATATTTGAACTGAAAATACAAGTATGTATATGCCAGTTTCTTTTGAAAAATTGTAAAAAAATGATATATAAAAAATTATTTTATAAATATATAATTTATCATTAATTTATACTCATAGGTGTGTGCTAAATAATGCATTATTAATATAATTTATATGCGTAGGAAGATACGTCTTACACAAATATTTAATGGATTATAAGATAGTCTTTATAATGGAGGTTCCTTATACTATAAAAAATACAAACTGAATAATTTTTAAATGTACAAACATATTATAACGGTATAACCTTTAGTTTGACAATTTTAAAAATATTTAAAAATTATTATTTTTATTAAAATAATGCACAATAAATATCTAATTTATGAATTTTTATTGTTATAGATAAAACATATGTTAATATTATTTATTTAGGTTATAACCTAAAACTGTACCGGAAATTAATATTTAAAAAAATGTATTGTGGGATGTATGTATCTATTTAAATAATTTAATATTTATAATAAAATTATAAAGAACAATTCATTCAAGCCCATTAATAAATGAGTAAAATAGATTGTATAGCCCAAGCACAGTTTATTGAATGGGTTTTATTTAAAAATGTTGTATTGAACCATTGAACTGTTATACATTTAATTTTACATTCAAGTAATAAGTAGGAATTATTACTGTACGAGATAGAGATATTATAGTTGAAAATATTGGAATAGTTTGATATTCCCCTTGGTGTATTAGCTCAACTAATAACTTCGTCAATTATCACAGTTTAACGCAATGATTAAGTTTTTAATTGAGTTTAACTTTTTTAAACTCGATTAATCGAAAATATCGTATCATTGTTTGTGATGTTTTATAGGACGTTGTTTTTAAAATAAAAAACTGATTATAAAATATTGTAAATTGAAAAAATATTTAACCACATTAGAAATATTTGTGGACCACATTTTGTACATGCACATAAGTGTAAAATTAAAAAATAAAAAAATAAATTTATTTTTATACTATTATATTCAGGATTAGGTTAGGTTAGGTTAATAAACTAGCCTATATTGGTCCTCCGGGACACCGAGAATTTTCTAGGTTCAGCCTATGATATCAATTAACCACCCTCTCCCTTTTCTTTTTATTCCATTATAATATTTATATTTACTATTTTATATGTATGTGTTATATTATACAAATTATAATATAATATGAGGTACACATATTATGTTTCGTAATTGTTTTGCTATCATTTATGGTATTAGTAACTATTGAACCGACTTGTAAATCCAAACACCGAAATTAATGTAGACATGTTATTACAATATTTACTGTTTTATTTCAATTTTTTTACGGGACGCTCGTCTAATTAGTATACAATTATATAAATATCTATGAATTACGCTGTAAATGGGTGTATACAAATTATATACAAAATAGAATAGTCTATAGTCTAATAGGTAAGAAAACCTTTGTTTTGATAATCCCGTTTTATTTTAATGGAAAATAATATTTTCTCATTTCTTCGTGACCTATCGACAACTGCACCCGACATACGATTCTCTGTCTGTAAGACTTAAGAATACTTAAATTATTTAAGAGGTCGTCCCAAGTGCATTACACACTATGCGATAGGAACTTATGTGTCTACGTTTTTGAAATCTCGCGATTAATAGTTCAAAATCGATTTTGTGTTCGATTATATAAGAAAAAATGGTGTACCATATAATGTGTTGGTTAAAATAAGTGAATTGTTCTCCTTCTATTGATCAGCCAAAGCTGAAAGTTGAACTTATTTCTTTTGCTAAGTTTTGGCCTTCAGTTTATAAAGTCGGTTTACAGAGCGCGTATGAATCTTCAGGTCAAATCGATACCGTCGATTCAATGGGCTAATGAATACGATTAAAAGTGTAGTAAAGTAAAAAAGTGTAATGTATGTCAATCACGCGCATTAAGTATAATTACTAATTATAACATGACATGACATATTACATACATTGTATTTATCAATACAAGGAATTGTAAAAATTGTGTAAATATTTACTGACTTAGTCTCTGATACAAGTAATGTGTGATAGATTATTTTTGAAATAAAAATTGTTAAACATACCATTAAGGTGCTTTCTTGTAATAGAGAATTTGGAATCATTATTCTTAATACAGTTCAAACAAGACAAATGAAGTTGATAAGATTAGATAGTAAATTCCTTATGTTCGAAAAACAAATAAATGCAACGTATTAAGACATATGTTAAGTTTATGTATTTTTTTTAAATAAGTTTAAAAAAAACTGTTCCGATGAATATTTTTATATAAAATATAAATAAGATTTAATTTTAAAAGTAAGTGTACAATTTATTTTTTTAGCCTTTTTACTATGAAACATATTACTTTGATTGATATTTTGTTAAATAAATCATGATCTGTAATTAACATATTCAGATGGTAGTTTGTAAATAAAACAATCAAGGATAGACACCTATTTTTTCTTTTGAAGTGAATATATAAAAATATAGTTGGCACCTTATAAATATATTTATTTCCGTGCTCCTTTAGATGAGCAGTACGAGCCTTATTACATTATATTTAATAATTAAAATAGTGAATATATATTCATATTATAGTGATAGATATATTTTTGATTTTCATAGTTTTTTCAATAATTTATGTAAGTGATAAGACAGGTTAAGAAATTGAAATATAGGATTTATTAATATAAAACCGGGATCTAAAAATTCTACTACAGGTGAATGAGTTTTTATTAACAGATTTTTAGGGTAGTTAATATTTAATCTATATAAATATTCATGTATAATTGAATAAATATTTTTTGATAACTCTAATATTATTAACAAATGTATAAAATTAAAACATTTAACCATATACAAATGATTTTTGAATAAAGTAAGTATAGGAAATATGTATTATATTACATATTATTCTTTTGTTTAAAAATAAAGATTACTCAAAATGTTGACTTAATTTGAAAATTCATAAAAAATCTTTTTATTCTATTTTTAAATTACTGTTATTCCATAATTTCTGGGTTAAAACCCAGAAAATAACTTAAAAAACTATCCAATTCAAAGCTACAGTTAAAATAAAAATTTCTGTTAAAAAAATGCAAGATATGATACTAAATAATGGCGTAGTGCGTTCACAAAAAAACTTAAAAATGTAAACATTTTCTTCCGAAAATAAGATTCAAATCTAAGAAAAAGTGTAAAAATATTTCGTATTCCCTTTTAAGTGGAACACGCTGTGATATATTTAGAATTGTTTCCTGTAGTTAAGATAAATTAACAATAATTCATCGTGTATTTTTCAAGAAAATCCTACTAGGCGCAACATTAGTACTTTTTGTGGGATGTGGCAGTCTTCCTTACGACCATTTCTAATCGACATTAGGGATTTAATATTAAATTATAACTATATAACATACGTTATTCGTTATAAATATATTAGATATTAGCTGCATAAAATAGTTTAATTTATCTATTCTGTTATATTAAAGTGTAACCTGACCTTTCTTATTTTTTTAAAAAAAAATTTTAGATTTCATTTCTTGTGTTAACTAATTTAAAGAGGAAAAAATAGCTGATGTGTCTTTGTGGCTGTTACTTGTTGAGTTGTAAACAGTCTTCTTTTATCTACCCATGTTATCTGAGTATTTTGCACTCGTACAGTAAATTAAATTTAAAGTTGATTATTGTGCCAACAGTACACTTTCGCCCAGATATCATAAGAGCAACTGAGCACGAGAGTGAACTATACGTGCTCTTGTCGCCTTGCCTTGCCGAGTTAGGCGAGCCTCTCCTCGACGGCGCTCGATCAGAAGGCGGTTTTTTGTGCTCGAGTCAAGGAACCCGAGGCCATTCGAGACGTGAACACGAGAACACCTAGTTCATGCTCGTGCGTTATCGCGTATTCGTCGCTTTTTTTTTATTGTGCTTTTTAACATGTGTGACTGGTTCAATGAATTTACGTTAAAGTTTTTGAACCAAAATGAACCCGTTATATGGGACCCGGGAATTTGTACCGCAAAGGTAGGAAAAAAATTAACGATACATAGATTCGATTAAGTGGACAACTGAAATGTTTAGTAACCGAATTAAAGAAAAAATAAGACTCGCTCATGGCTACTTAGGGGTCATGCAAATGTATTTGCGTAAAAAAAAGCTTCGATCAGATCAGGAGCCGGTGCAAATGATATTTACAAGCCAATAACCAAAGTGACTAGTCACTTTAGCCGAAGCCGAGAGGCGAGAATGTACTGCGTACACTCGTGCTTCCTCGCCTGATCTAAATTCTTGACAAAAGTCTCTCCGAGACTGTATCGGCAAATGTGTACAGCCAGTATTAAATGTACCACATACCAAAGTAGGTACTGAAAAATAATATGAATAATATTGCATACATTTATTTTATTATTATCTAATATTTTAAACTAATGACTGTAATATAAACTGTCTGCTTTTTTGAGCCATTATATCCAATATTTCGTCCGTAGAGATAGACACTTCCAATGTATTGACAAAAGAGCAAGTCGCATTAAATGCTCATTTTTAATTTTATTACGAAGAAATTTTTTTGAGCACTTCTAAGTTGAAAACGAACGTTCAACTACTGTTAGTGTTGCCAAAATGTTCAACCAGAAATTTATTTTTGGGTAAAACTTTGCATCACATGCATTCAAAATATCCACAATTTCAATGGATTTTTTCTACATTTACTTATTTTTCACACTATAATAAACTTCAGACCCAACCACTTTATCCAAATATACGATATACGATATACTATATGTATTATACGATGCAGATATATGATCTTCATAAAATATGTTTAGATTTTTAAGTTTCAGCTCTCCATGATAAAATAATAATCGAAATTCAATCATTATATAGCTGTTTATTTTTGTATCACAATACAATCAAATATTTTAGAACAACACGTATTTTATTAAATATATATTAAAAATTAAAAAATATTTGTTAATGTATTTTATTTAGATTTCGATTATAAGAATTATAATTTTATGTGCCGGTTAAACACAATAATTTCGGGGGGGGGGGAGGCTTGAATTCGTATTATGATACGTTTTGAATACTTACCTAATAGTGTATTGCATGTTTCAAACGTCTAAAATTATACTGTATTTGATAATATATATTTTTTCGGTTGTAGATTTATGTTAGTTTGTGTTAGTTCTACTAACTTAGTTGCACTTAATGGAAATTCATAAGAAATGATAAATTGACATGTATGGAATGAGGATGCATTTATAAAGATGTCGAAAGAAGCCCATTTGAGTTTAATTTTTAGTTCAATAATATTTTGCATATACCAACATTTTAGAACATTTTTACCACCAACGAATGTAATTTAACAATGCTACTTTCAAATTATTACAATTCTTAGCTCAATATTTATAATATTTCTATGAAACACCGTACTTACATCAGTTATCTGTAGTTCTATTAGCCTTATGCTAAGACTGGTTAGAGCAAACACCTAACATTAATAATTGTACTTGTACCCAGTGGCATCCAGTTTCTAAAATTTTACTTAGGCTAAATAAAAATACAATGGCTTCTCAAACACCACAGCGGCCACAAGTCTACATTTTTACTTTGCATAGAAAAATCATTTTTGCTCTCATATTAAAAGTATTAAGCATGATTCATACTAGTTAGACATGTATCGACAAACACCGTTCCGAAAAAATATTTTATTATGTATTTTAATTTAGGTAATTCACATTTGAACGTTTACATTCCCTTCTTACAAGTACCGATCCGACAGAGTCTGTTCGACATTCCTCGCAAAAATAATCACTACTAGTACTATCACTACTCTCTAAGAATTTTCGTCGACGTTACTATACTATACTACCTGTCTCTATATCTTCTCCGAGACACTGGTTCCATATAACAGGATTCTTACTACTAAAAGGTTTGTTAGTCCTGTGCTTAAACCTCAACCTGGACGACTTGCTATTGAAATAGACTATTTTTATGCATTTGGTTCACCCTTGCGCCTTTGTGGCACAAAATTAAAAATGCATTCAATTAATCTATTCTGCGGGGACGGTTGAGGTGACACAAACCGAGACACGGTAGTCATATGCGATAATATACACTACAATCTAATCTGTGCAATCGTTTCGAATGATCAACACCGTGAAACCATTGTTTTTCAACTGTCATTGTCAGTGCGTTTCTTCCGTTGAGATATTGGTGGTTTTCACGCTCGGAATGTTATAATTCCGACTTCTTTATGTAACTGCTCTTATGTCGATTTGAGAACACAAAAACAATGGCTCGAGGCGTTCGACTTAACTGCTGCGGTACCAACGGGAAACACGCGCCAATTTAATGCAACCTGAATTATTATAAAATACAACTGTCATGCAATTTATAATAATTCGTTCTTCTATTTTTTTTTTTTTTTTTATCATTTAAATGCGACGAAAAGACATTATTACCAATAACTGAAAACGGAATTAGAAAACGGAATAAATCATTGTATTTTTCTTTGATGCGCAAGGGGTATATGTTAAGGGGTATGTATATGTTAAGGTCTATACGAGAATGCAGAGGTATTATGCTATTCTCTGGTCGTCAAAATTACTAAAATAAAATTACTAAAACAGTGTTTCCATCTAAATATTATATGGGTTTTATATTTTGCGGCTTTAAATTTATAATGGTAAATAAAAAAAAGGCTATAACATATTTACGATAAAAAAAAATATTTCTATACATTTTTAAATAGTAATTATTTACAAGTTGCTGTTTTTTAATTTTTAAGGGGAGACGCAGTCTCAAAGTCTCCCCTGACGAGCCGCCACTAGAAAAAGCACACATTTTCTACGAATTGGGAAATTCTAGAAAACTGATCGTCGCTTTCCCCTGACTTCGAGTAGACTTTTAACTCACCATGCCTTTAAGCTCTCTCTAAACGCATATCCTCTTTGTACTTGACATCACGCTGACACTAACTGCAACTATAACAATATAATTTTTCATTGTCCTTCTCTATTTATTAACCGACATCTCCATTTTTCATTCCTATCTTCTTTTGGTTATATCACACCCGTTGAAGCAACATAAACATAAAATGAGAAACATATAAATAAATTAATTAAAATTTGAATATTGTGAAATTAAATTAGATTGATTAATATAAATTGAATTATATTTTATAATTATGAAAGTGATTTATTAAAAGATTATTATTATTAATTAATTTGAATCATATGATTTAAAAAATTTAAAATGTTAAATGTAAATTAAATTAATTTAATTTTTATACCATTAAATATTTAGAGTGGTAAATTCAAAAATCAAAATGAAAAGTGGTTATCTGGCTCCCAAAGAATCCTTGGTTTGAATTGTAACAAAAGAAAAATCCAAATTCTAAAAAGATACATAAAAATAAAAGAATTAAAATTTGAATATTTTGAAATAAAATTAGATTGATTAATATAAATTGAATTATATTTTTTAATTGAAGGATAGTATTGCCAAAAATTTGAAAATCGAGCTAGACATCGGTTCTGAATGGAAAAAACGTGGTAGTATCGAATTTGCGGTCAATGTTGTGCAACATGGATTATTTCTACGATTAAAATTGATTTAAAAACAGTTGTTGAATACACAATGTGTTATTGCCAATGCTATTTTTATAGGAACTTCTTATCAGTGCAAAACGTGATATTACCATTTACATTGTGTTAAATAGCCTACCCTAACTTAACAATCAGCTACAGTAATATTTGAGTTTTTTAAAGTATTTAAAGGGATTATAATAAATAATTTCATCATATTTTGATATTATAAAAAATTTTATAATATTAGAAACAATTTTATATAATTTTATTAATGTGTAGTAAGTAATAACTGATTACAAGTGTGGTTTAAATGATCAAATTTGCATGAACACGCAACATACATTTAATAAATTATAAGTAATATGTATAATGTTCCTGCTAAGTGAGATACCTTATTCAAATTATGTGTCTTAGTTTAATAATATAAACCCAGTATACAGTTATTTTCTTAATCTAGGTATTCATATTTATTTTAGCATTTCATTCAATGTTTTCTTTTAGAAAAATGTTTGGAAGCCGCCACCCCGGACCGTTCATGCGCGCAAGTTCGCTGTTCGAGCAGGTGTATTTTAGTATTATTCTGCCTGTTACCCCCACGACAAGGGAGTATTTAAATACCGCTATCCGCAACCTGCGGACCCGATCTAGAGGCGAGAACCAGCGCCCCAAAACCACGTCTCGTTTCCGGAACGTGATTTCGCTAGATTACACCAACATACAACATAATTTTATAGAATATTTATTATTAACTTATTGGCTATACTCAATGGTATACCCGACTCGCTGAATCGTAGCGAAGAAACGAGCACAAGCCCATACAGCGGTGCTCACAGGGGCGGCCCCAGGGAGAGAGGCTAGGGCCGTGGCCCCCTCCCAAGCCCGTACCGTATTTATAAAAAAATTTATATTGTTAACAAAACATGCATATTATAATATGTACTATCATACGACAAGCATGTAGATAGAGCCATAGAGGTATTACGGTTGAAAGGATTTCCTTCACACTTAGGAAACTAAAAACCTGGCTTCGTTCATTGATGACTGAAGATAGAATATCAGCATTATGTCTAATTAATGTATATCATAAAGTAGATATTCTAGATCAAAAAGATCATATTATTAATATTTTTGCCAGTAATAAAAATAGACGACTTGAATTAGTGTTGTAAAAACTGTTGTTTTCTTTTTGTTATAAGATTTTGTAAAATTATAACTTGCCTCCCCCCCTAACCAAGTCTCTGGAGCCGCCCCTGGACGCTCAGTTTTATTTCATACTGCCAGCGAGGTCCAAACCCAAAATCGTTTGTAAACGTGTGTGTGTACTCATCGTCAACGGAGCACTGGAAGGAACCAGGTCCCAGCCAACCCGTAACGAGGAGGAATCTTGCTACAGTCGCAACACTCCGTGATGCCGTAACAGCTTGGACGTGAAGTCTCGCCGCAGCTTGCAGTCTCCGTTCAGTTAATCACTATCCATTATTACAATTCACTATAACAAGATCAACCGTTGTGAGTAGATGAACAACCTCGCAAACTTGTATTATGTTAATTTGTTGTATTTTATGGACACTCTTTGGAGTACTTGTTATTGAACAATTATGTAATGTTCATATATGTATAATTTGTACTAAAGACTAATAAAACTCTATTCAACTCAAGTCTTTCAATAAATGGTTGCCCTAGAATTAGTATATAGTTATTTATACAAAATTAACAAAATTAATTATAAACTGGATTACATTGTAGGAGATTAAATTATAAAATTTCATCTTCGGAAAATTTAAAAAAAACTTAGGAAAATTTAATTAATTATAAGAAGATTTAATTAAGGCACAATAATACCTTTTTTTTAAATAAAAGTTTGAAAAAATACAAATTATCAATTTATTTATTTTAGTTTTATACATTTTTGAAATAAGCTTTAGGTACTCTAACACCCATAATCACACTTATATCTCCAATAATAAGTATATTTTTTGGTTATTTTTGATATTCATTTTTTAGAGTATTTAGGGCATTTTAGCTTTTTTTTTTAGTACATTTTTATGTTGTTTTAAAGGTTGAGTCAAGCAACATTCTAACTCTGATTGTTATTATTAGGAATAAAATGTATTTATTTATTAATTGAGAAAACATTTGTAAATACGAGTATGTTATATGTATAAATTATCTACTGCACTTTAATCCAAATTATAGAAATATAAATACTATTAAAATTATGTATATTTAATTAAAATAAAGCTGTTGGGCGTTTGAACTCCCTTTAACATTTTTTTTTATTTGCGCCACCGAACATGAAATTAATACATTTTTACAGAATAATAATAATGATGAAATGGCCAAAACAAAAAAAAAAAATCCGCTTTATAAATAGCCTAGATAAAATATCAATGAATTTATACGTAGGTTACACACATTCAAAAATTAAAGTCAGACATCGGAAAGTACTTTTAATTTTCCATTGTACTGAAATAATTTATCCACTTAATAATAACAATAATTGTATAATTATTTAAAATAGAAAAACACTCACAAAATAAGCCAATAACGTATAGATATACTAAAAAATATGCGCAGCACCCTATGATCGTTGTCTTTAATCATTCCCTGACGAATAGTTAAAAGAAAATCTTTTAAATCGTGTCAGTCAATAAACTACATATTGTCGCCACTTGTCGCAAGCAAACTCTTTTTATTGCTGATAAACATTGTAATGTACAATAATTATTATTGTACGTACTTTTTTAAAATATTTATTATATTAAAAAAAAAACCAAACACTGATGTGGTTAAATTTATAAATTTAGAGTAATAATTTAATTAAGTGATTATTTTTAAGTAATAATTTAAGTGAATATTGAATGGAAAAAATGTATTTAAGTAATGGAAAAATATTATTTACAAAACCGAGAATACTTAATTATTATAGGTTTTTAAAAGGCAATGGAATAACTTTAAAAAAATAAAAATAGTAGCTATAAAAACATAAATTAATTTATATATATATATTTTTTTTTTTATAAACTTTAATATAATTAAAGTTGTTATTTAAAAGAAAAACGATGTACCTGTATTTATGGGAGAAAGTAAGTGCTTATGTGTTTATCTCTCGTAAGTTCGTCTCATTCTGGATCGTCTCCTAGAAATCGGCTATTTACTGTAATAAAGTAAACAGTGACAATATTTAAATAATTAAGTATGCTTTAGGACTTAAAAAAAAAATTAATTACAATTTTAGTTTTTTTAAATTTTTTTTTTTTTTTTACGAATAAAGAATTGTAAGAAATGTAATTTGCCGAAATGAAAATATTGAACAAACGCAAATAGAACATGTCAAGTAAAATTGGACATAGATTATTTACCTCATCGTTGCCAACCGTCGTGATTTGCCACGAAAAAATATAATTTAAATTTAAATGATTTTTATATACGAGTACATAGGCGGCTTGGACGTATTACAAGAGGTGCACTTCACTCCCAAAAATATGGGGTAGGCATATTTTTATACATTTTTGGAAAACTTTTATCGTTAATACTTAATACTACTACCATGTTTATGGACTATGATGATATTTATATACATACTATTATATAAATATATATACTTATTGAATCAGATTGCTATAGTCCACTGTTATAGTTGATTATATTAGTACAGTTAATATATGGTATTATTTAAATATATTAAGAAGATGTGTCAATCATCACGAAAAAAAATTAATCGAAAATATTAAAAAACGTGATACGTGTATTCATTTTTATAAATAAAATGTTGTTATCATTGTAAATATATAGTGTGATCACGATCACAGACATTACTAAATATCTCAGACATTCTTATTATTTGTTGTATTTTTATTTGATTATTTTATTATTATAGGTAGGTAAGTAACCTACTGTTTTATTGTTATATCTAATTCCGAGGTATTTCAAAAAGTGCAAGTTTTGTTTTATATTCATGGTTAATGTTAGAACTAAAAGTGCTAATTATACTAAAATTTAAGCTATTTTTATATAGATTACAAAAGACTGATGTATCTACGTTTATTTGTTGTATTTTTAGTTTCTATTCTACTATTATAGCTAGGTAACGGTAACACGGTGTTTGTTAGATAATATAATTTATAGGTATTATTATAAAATTTTTATTTCAAAAAGTGCAATTTTAATTTTATATTTATTGCTAATTTTGGAATTATACAGACTTATTTTATTAAAATGTAAGTCATTTATAGTATGGGCCACAAGAAACTGATGAACATAGTTTAAACTTTAAATTGGATATTATTTATTAATATAAGAATAATTACATAAGCTTTTTTATGTGAAAAATAATTAAGAATAAATTTATTAGCTTTAATACATTGTTATTTTGTTTCATTTTTATTATCCCCATCAATTTTTTGTTGCGTACCTACCTATATTATATTATTTACGTCAGCCCCAATCTTAACTTATATTATGGGAAAAATTTAAAAACGTACATAATAACCATTCGTAAATATAACTAATATTATATTCTGATTATTTGTTTACTTCCCTACCCCCCCAGATTTTTTTCTTCTATAGTGGCCAAAAAATAGCGATGGGACTATGGGCCCCTCTCCGCCTTACGGGCGCCCTTGGTGATAGTGGTAGTGTTTAAAATGTAGGTGGATGGTCTGAATTAATATGTGCACTCCTAATAGCATTTGTCTCAATCCGCCACTAGGTGCCCTAACTAGTTCAATAACAATCATACGGACGACATTCAGTTAATATATGTGGTGACAGAAATTCTTCTTGGGCCATCAGATGTCCATGTTTTAATTTTGTAAAGCCGATTCTTAGTTTATTTGTCACTTAATTATTACTGTCTATGTGGAAATCGTAGTATAATTGCTATTGTTAAATTATGGAGGGCACGCGACTACAACGGAATTTAATGTTAACTTAATAAATACCAATAGTTATCATGAACCCATTTTGTCTGATCAGTTTATTATACTTACTTACTATTGTTTTCTTCAAATTTTTTGAATTTTTTTATTACGTAATTTTTTCCGTAGTAGGATTTTTTTTTTGTTTTATTGTTCATTTTTTTTTCTTCTAAAAAATAGTAGTTGCATGATAGAATATCTGATAATTTAGTTGGGATACTCATTGCCCCAATGTCCACATCCAAGTCAAGCACTGATTAGGAGTCTCGGCACGCTGCTGACCGTTGGCTACTGCAAGTCACGTACGGTGTAAAATTTTTAAACAATGAAATACCTATTGAACTCCCGAGAACGGGTGGTAATGTATCACGGTACTACGAGCGCTATCTGCCGTCATCGACTGGAGCCCGGATTTCCGATGGTGGCCAGACTGATTTGATTAGTCGACGCCGTTGTTTCTGGAGCTATCTGCGTTTTGTTTGTATGGGTTGTGTTATCGCTAGTCGGGTTGAAAATCGCCGGATCGTGTGCTGAACTGCCGAATTGAGTTTAGAATATTTTCTACCGAGACCGTATCGCCGAAACATATTCCAAGTCCACCGTCATCGTAGAGCCGTTGGCGTTTCTGAGCTGCCGTTTACTTTAAATATTTGCTGAGGTAAATACTACTGTCCCTCTTAGCCCTCAACGAGGTCTTCGAGGTTTGTCCGTCGGAAGGGTGCGAAACAAAAAGAAATCCACTCGAAATTTGATTTCGCTGCTGGTTTTTGGTTGCAGTATCCGTTCTTGTTTGTTATTTGAACGCTGCTAGTTGTTAGAACTATCATACTCCATTTATGAATTAGCTTTACGCCAAAATCTATGGTTTATGAATTTTCACAATTTTCATATTTCACACGACCTATTGTATCGCTAGACTACATTAATAATCGTTAAATCGATAGAATGTTAACTGTGTCTTCGTTAAACTATATACAGTTTTGAAATGAAAAGACTTGACCAATACCAATTATCTTTTAAAACTTAAACTTCCGCTGGAGGGCTATATTATTGTTTTGTGTATATTAAACGAGTACTCAAAGCAAGACTGTCTAAATTTCTTTAATGCCAACTGAAAATAAGTTCACGTATTATATTTTAATTATCTTTTATTTATAGTGTTATTGATATTTTGTAATATTAATCTACTTCTAAAATGTATTTAGTAGGTTTTTGACAATTATCATTTTAATACCTTTATAATATTATTGTATTGTTTTATAAGATGTATAGTTAATCTATGTTTTTTGCAGAAATTAAAGTGTTATAATGTTGGACACTCGTCCAAATCATACCATCTATATAAACAACTTAAATGAAAAAATAAAAAAAGATGGTAAGTTAAATCAAAATTCTTTTTTAAAAAGATTGTATGGATTATATTAATCATGTAAATTTATTTTCGAAGATTTGAAAAAATCTCTTTATGCAATTTTTTCGCAATTTGGACAAATACTTGACATTGTAGCGATGAAAGGGATTAAAATGAATGGACAAGCTTTTGTTATTTTTAAAGACATATCCAGTTCCACAAATGCTTTACGTGCTATGCAAGGATTTCCATTTTATGACAAGCCAATGGTAAGATCTCTATGTTATAAATTCAAGCTTGTTGGCTATTTTATTTAAAAAATATATATATGTATTAAATTCAAATACCAGTTACTAATTGACTGATTAGCATTCAGCCTAAACTACCATATTGATTCATTTGAAATTTTAATAAAATATATCTTAATTACTATGTATAAGTACATCATGGAAGAATTTTTTGAAATTGTATTTTGAAGGGTCAATCAGTTATATTCTGTTGCCTATAATTAACTAGAATAATATATTATTATTTCATTCAAACCATGATAAACAATATATTGAAAATATTAGCTTAACAATATATGATACAAAGTGTAAATCAAAATAATTTAGTAAAAACTGCATATAAGCATCAGCAGATAGCAACATAGATATTGATCCATATTACGCACTATTTGAATAACATTAATTTAATTTAATTTCAATAATATGACAAATACAAAAAAAGAATTAACAATCTAAATTAGTATCCGATTGGTTATTTTTTACTTAATCTTATTTTCATTAACACATTTTTTTCATAAAAATTGTTTCAAGAATTTAAAATGTAAAGTTTTCATTTGATTAAATTACAAATTAAATAACACAAAACACTTCATTGATTATATTTTTATAGACATTTGTTTTTATTACTTCAATTCTGATAGATATTACAACATAACAATTAAGCAGAAACTTGTATTTAAGTTATGTAATATTTTCAGTATAACCATAAACAATATTGTATTAGAACAGCAGTCAGCACTAGGATTTTAGAAAGAGCCAAATAATAAATTTAAAATTTATTTGGATATATTTTTTTTTTTTTGTTATGATAAAATATGTATAAATTATATGTTAATTAATTACAACTTAATAGTTTATAATTATAATATTATAAATCAATCATAGTTCATAAAAATTACATTTATTAGAATAATATATTTATAATAATATTAATATATTTTAGTAGAAAGAATATTAAGATATGATAGAAAAAAGTTATTGCATATAATATAACACCAGAAATAAAAAAAATAGCTATTTTATTCACTCTATTTAATTTTGGAAAATAAATTTAGTGTTAGTACAGACCACAAAAATTGTTTGAAGGGCCGCATAGTGTATACTGCTGTATTAGAATATTAACTTTACCGATTTTATTTTTAAAATATTATTAGTTATATTGTAAATCTTAACACTAATACATTATCTAATGTTACTTAATAAGACAAGCTTTGTATTCAAAACGGTTAGCATTCCATTATTTAAAATTCAGAACTGTCAATAGTATGTAAAAATATATTTTCTTTTCTTTTAGCGTATCCAGTTTGCTAAAACAGAATCTGATATAATTGCAAAAATGAAAGGAACCTTTGTTGAACGTCAAAAGAAACCTAAGAAACCAAAGGATGATGAAGAAGCTAAAAAAAGACGTAAAGCAGCTAAAGAACAGGCTCGTGCTTTGGCCCAACAAAATAATCCTGGAGGTGTATCTGGTGGTAGTAAGTGTTATTTATATTATATCTTTAATGCATTGTTCATAAATTACATAAGTTATTTTAACACCTATTATTAAACAGATGTACCAGAACAACCGCCTAATCAAATTCTGTTCTTGACTAATCTACCTGATGAAACAACTGAAATGATGTTATCTATGCTCTTTAACCAGTAAGTTTTGTCTAAAATACCTCACATTATAAAGTATATTTGTAATTTTTTAATTGTTCTAGGTTTCCTGGATTTAAAGAAGTGCGACTTGTACCTAATAGACATGATATTGCTTTTGTTGAATTTGAAAATGAACACCAATCTAATACTGCCAAGTTGTCATTAAACGGTTTCAAGATTACGCCCACTCATGCAATGAAAATTACTTTTGCTAAAAAATAAAATTGTTCATTATGAAAAAGAACTCTGAATTCTTTGTAAAGTAACCTAAAATATATTTTATTTGTATAAGTATTCATCATTACAGTAAAAAGAAAAAAAAAAAATTAATAAATAATAAAAAAAAATTAATAATAATTTAATTATTTACACTTAAAGAGTTTAATGTTTTCTATAACGATATGAATTTGGTAGTGGTAATGGTGGTGTGATTGTATATGGTGTAGGTTTATAGACAGTACTCCAAAATATTATTGTATCACTTTCAACATGATGTATAAAATATATAAAAGGTCTGTTAACATTGAAAGGTGGTTGGCCACCTCTTGATATAATTACTGTAGTTGCTGCTGATGCAATTGTACCAATTTCATCAATAATTATTTCTACTTTATGTAAAATATCATTAATGAAAGAATCAGAATTAGATGTAAAATTTGAAAAATCAGCTTTTGAAATATCAAATATTTTGTTTACACCCAAATTCTAGAAAGAAAGAAAAATATAAATATTATAATTATTTTAATCAAAGTGAACTCAAATATTTACCTGTAAAGCGGGCCTGAGGTTAGTAAATGACTTCAGAGTCATTTTAGGCACAAAGTATGTAAATTCTAAAGGTATTGTATTTCTAGTTATGTTTTGAAGTATTTTGCCATCCATTTTATTAACTAAATCTCTCAAATTAACATTTAAATCAGGAAGTACAAAATATGATACAAATTTATTGCCCTTGTAAGGTAATCCCATGGCTGAAAATCCTAAATCTTCATTTTTATGGTATAATATATCGCTACTGCCCATCATCATCGGAATGTAAATAATATCTTGTGCATTTTTATCACCAATGTTTGATTTAAAATAAAATGGTTTTCTAAAATCAAACATACATATAAATATATATATTAAACATAATATAATAATTTAACTTACATTCTGGTATAGTTAACAAAAAATGGGGTTTCCCATTCGCCAGTGAAGTATAAAGCACTTGTAATAATAGTCTTTGTTTCAGGAATAGGAATATTGGGCATAATATCATTGATTTTTCCATTTGTTTGAATTGATACCCATCTTTTAAAATAAAACTTAATTATTATCAAATTTAAGTTATAATTAATCATATCCAATGTTTTTAACCCTCTAAGAAATGATAATAGGATTGATTTATTAATTCATAGTTACTATAATAAATCAATAATATGAGTTACTATTAAATTAATTTATCATTTAATTAATAAACAGCCAAGTATTTAAGAAAAATGGTAAATATAATTTTATTATTTAAATAATTAGCTGTAACTTAGTCTGTAAAGTATATTTATTACTTACCTAGATATTAATTAAACAAAAACTATAATACTTTAAAAAAATTAATAATTTGTAAATAAATATAAAGTCCTTAATTAAAATAAGTTTAACAAATATTTTTGTGCGTTTATAAATTTGCGAGTTATATACTCTCTTAAATTATCAGTTGATACTATTATCTAAAATATAAAAATATTTAAAATGTGAAAACTAATGAACAATTATAAATAAATAATCATAAATTAGATATACTGCATTAAATGATTTATGAGAAATATTTACTTATTTATAGTTTGTTGTGCATTTGGCCCTTCTTTACTGAAATCAACTGTTATTATTTCACTATTTAAATATTCTTTAGCTAATGTTTTATAATTTTGTAAAACATTATAGCCATTTTGAATGAAAACTGCTTTGGCAAGGTTTACTCTTGTACCCAAAGTTTCTGTTGAGCTATATTGAAAGTAATTTAACAACATGCCTAAATCCTTGTAATTTTGGTTGTTACTACAACAATACAATTATATTATTAGTGATTGGGCATGGAACAAAATTTATAAATATTAACTTGTCAATTGCATGAAGTAACGTGTTCTCATCGTAACCAAATAGTTTACCGATTTCTGTTTTTGTTTCGCCACCAGCACCCAAAAGAATAAGTGACATGGCAGCAGCAATACTTATCGGTGATATGATGATATTTCCATCAGATTTTGAGTCTTGTGCTATTAAGCTATGCATTGACCTATCAATATTCAACGCTGCATCAAATAAACCTAGTATCAAAATCTGAAATGTCACACTCCCTGAATTCAAATTTATTAATAAACACTTAAAGTTTAACAATTTACCTCTTTCGATCTGTTGTTATCTGGGGATAATAATGTTGATGCTGCTGGTGGTAATGATTCAGGTTTGTCAGTTGGAAAATGCAGTTTGTTGTCCACATATGAATTTACAGTTGTTGGTGCTGGTGGTGTCGATTGAGGTTTTTCGGTTGAAGACAAAGCTTTTTGTGTCAAATATGTTTGCATGATTGGTTGAACTGGTGAATGAAATATTGGTAATTCACCACTATTCACTAATGTAAAAATAATTAAAATATTGAAATTTAACAGCAACATCTTGGGCCACATCTAAAAGCATAAAGTATAAATATTATATATAATATAATAATATATTATTATATTATATTATTATTATTATTATTATTAATTATGTTTATTACACATAATAGTACTAGTACACTTTTATGGGCAAAGCGAATTTTTGTAATGTTATATTTTAATTCGTGTCGCAATAATATTAAGAATATTCAACAGAAATCCAGTAATTCAATACAGTTTTCCCAAACGAAATTCTAATCGAAATTCGAACGAGATGTAAACAAAATCCAGTAACGATTTTCGCATTACATCCGTATCCATGTTACACCGCGAACAACAACAACAACAATAATTGTGTAAAATTATAATGCATAATAATAGTGCATACGGTACGACGTACCTATTTATGCGTTCAGAAATTTTTATGAAATACGAACGTGATTCCGGGACTCGTTTGTTATAAATTCATAAACATCGTAATATTATTATTGGTTTTAACATAGTTGAACTGACTGACCTTTTCGATAGGTTCAAACGTCCCAATTAAAGAACACTGGTAAGTCCCGTGGTACGGCGTGAATTCATGAACATAACTGATGGGTTCTCGATGCCGATCCAATATTTAATAATAATAATACCAGTAGTAATGGTCATTGGTCAACCCGTCAAGGTCTGACCGTGTGTAATGTACATATATATTTATTTATATGTACACCACACACACACACACACGCGCGCGCGCGCGCACACACATGCACGTATGGAGGGGTTACCGGAGGAAGACAACAGGTGTATGGGATCATGTGCGTACACGAGAACGGTTCGCGGTCCCGTCCCCCTGCCACAACAATAACAACATTAAGCATACAGTTGACGCGTTATCTGTTGCTGCGGGTGCCCACTAAAACTCGTTTCGTGCACCTTTCAACGCAGCGATCGGGGCTCGGATTCTATGGCACAATATTAGTTAATCATTATTACGGAACACTGATAAAAAAAAATCAGAGTAAGCTATAAATATGTTTTGAGCTACAGGGATATGAAATCGAAAAACCGTGCGAGTGCTGCGCGTTTTTATACATATTATTTCGGAACTCTGGTTGTGCATTCTCCAGTCATGGCGCTAGTTTTTGCTTAAATGCATTGGTTTTGTTTTGTTTCACGTTTTCCATAAATCTCATGGTTTCGATTTATTTCCATTTGCTTTTTCACAAATATGTTAATAATTGTTCAATAAATATTTAGATTTATGATTACTATCGGGGAAAAAAAATTATAACACATGGATTGTTCTTTTTTTTTCGTTTATTTGTTTATTTGATTACACAAAAATATATATGAGCAAAGTAATAACAGTTAGCGAGAAAATACGCAATATATCGTAGCACTGGCTCCTCCAGAGCTGTCCAAAACCATTATCTAACCCAGTGTTCAACTAGTGATTTCTATTGGAGTCTAGAAGATTGAATTGATAAATAAACGAGGTCCGGGGATTAAAATGTAGTTTATTTCATTATTGCTGAAATATTTCAAAAACTTACAATATTAAATTAATATTGTTTATCGAGAGGTTGAATATAATAAATTGGATTAGTTATGAATTTTAGCAATCATTATAGAAACTATATACACAGTTATAGCCAGTGGCGTATCCAGGATTCATTTAATGGGGGTGTTTTAAAATTTATTAGACTTATAGTAAGTGGGGTTCTGCCCCCCCTACTCCTTACATTTATAAATACCATGTATTTATATAAATTATTATATTAATGGAAATGATTATATTTTCATATACCTACACTTAGTTAAATTATACTGTAATAAAATTTGCAATTTGGTGAAATACCATAAATTACGATTGATGGGGGGGGGGGTGTTCAACACCCATATCACCTCCCCTAAATACGCCCCTGATTAGAGCAATGTTACTATGTGAACATTTCAGGCTCTATTTGTCTACCTTCCATGGTCCGTTGGCCTAATGGTTAGATTCCAATCTATTACACGACAACATGTTTTTAAATTCATCATATTTTCCCTGTTGAATATTTAATAACAACACGCTACACATTTTATTAACACAAGGTATTTAAAAATAATAATTTAGTGGCTCGAGGAATGAATGAATAATGTATGATGTGTAGTCTTGTTAAACGGTGTTGCTTCCATTTTGTACGAACAACCACGGACTATGTAACACGAACACGTTCATGTTAAATAATGAATTTTTATATTATTTCCATAATTTCAAATGCGAATGAAGTCACGACCATCCAACCTTAAGAAATACGAAAAATTGCTTTTAAACGTTTATCGAATTTCAAACGTGAAGCGCTATTGCATATATATGCACATCTTAATGGAGCTTGTAGGGGTTGACAATGGTTTTCAAACTTCTGATTCGTTCGTGGTTAGTTCGTTAGAGGAGGGGCGTATGCTCTTTCACGAGAAAATGCGTGTTCCATACACAGGAGCGATCGTGTACATCTCTTCGGTCGTAAAATAATCAACGCTATATATGGTAAATATATATACAATAGATAAATTATAACGGATCGTAACTAGTAAAAACGTGTACAGTGCAATCGCGCATCATCTGCAGACCTCACGTCATATATTCGATACAAATAATGAATACGTAAATACCCGTACGTTGTATTTCCGCTTAAACGAATTTCGATATTTTTATCACTGAGTTATAATTATTTAAACCCATGCCCTAAGGACATTTATGAGGTGTTCAAATACATTATCTAGCTACTACGTCATTACGCCTATAATTAGGTACTTCGTGCAATCGTTGAATGTGCCACGTTATACGCACGTGTTTACGATCTTCAAACCACTCACAACATGCCTTTATACAATTCAGGTACACGCAATTCATATAACAGTCTGATAAAACAGAAGTGATTTATGTAGACAAAAATACAGTGATCAGGCTCCTCTAACTCATCGGAAGTCGTGAACTATTCGAACTCGACCGTAAAGATATATTGTACAGGTACTTTTAGATAAGAACTAAAAAGCCATCCTCGAAACTGGAAAATACAGAGCGGGGGGCAGTGAGTTCTCAAAAATTTTAATCAAAGATTAAAGGTACGGAGTCCAAGGCGCGACCAGACTGGTTCTACGCAATTCCTACGGACTGGTGTCCAATGAGCGATTGCGGCTTTGCGACTATGAATGGGCCGCTGTGATCCTTGGCTCTAGTCGAAAGCAGTGTTCAGCGACAGTCACCAGCGGCTCTTGCTATTTCTATTTCATAATATACTATACTATCAGGCCCGTATTTATGGGGGGCATGGGTAGGCACATGCCCGGGGGCGACAAAATATTTTAACAAAATTAATTTTAAAAATGATGTACCTATCTAATGAAAAAATAAAAATAAAACAGTATGTCTTATTATGTTATAAATTGTAAATTAAAAAAAATTGTATTTTTATTATATTATAATTTGTTAATTAAAAAAAGTATTAAAGAATTTTCATTTGTAAGTTATATTTTAATATTAAAAAATTTCGATTATGGACGAAATAATAAATGTTATATTATTATTATTTATTTGTTTGGGGAGGGTCATAAATTATATGTCCGGGGGCGCCAAATTTTTAAGTACGGGCCTGTATACTATATAATTTAAAGACTACAGCCGAATCACTAAATTTTACCTAAATTGTATTTTTGACTGTTCAAAAAGAGATTTTAATTGAAGAGGTACGCAATAACTGTTAACGATATACCTGAAAAAATTCGCGAAATTTTGTTCTGTTATTTAATAAATGTCTCTCAATTAAAATTCCAAAAATCCTTCATTTGAACGACTTTGATATAAAATGTTAGATTTTTTTTTTTTTGGAATTTAAGTAGGAAAACAATTTGTCTTCCTCCTCTTCCTCCTCAAATAAAAGCTGCTCAACTGTATTGTTATTATCGATGTACGTATTAACCATAGTGAATATTAGTACAAATACTACACAGAATGAATAGGTCTCTACAGTAAGAGCCCTAAAACCACACTACTTTAACGAGCCACAGTGGCCAGTCACCGTTGTAGAACAACAGGCAGACATCGACTGCTGATCACCCTAGTAGTCGTAGCAATAGTCTTGGACAACGTAGGGTCGAGCAGAGTCCAGATCCTGGGCCTCACAGTTTTCGATTAAATTTGAGGCCTTGCATATAAAAAAAGTAATAAAATTGGATTAAAAAATTGTTTTATTTTCGAAAAATTTAAATTTTTTGGTTTATATAAATAGTAAATATCAAAACCATATGAAAATACGATGTAGGATCAACGTAAAATTATTTAAATATCTAATAATAGTTTTATCGTAATTGCTTCACATTAGCCTTGATGCGGGTAATGGATACCAACAAACAATAGCATTGCTCTGTTAATACAATAATATTATAATGAATGATCGATTACAGGAGAAATGTCAAACATTTAAAAGTGAAGCTGATGAATTAGAACTATTACTAAAGAACATAAATATGAACGTTAAAAAAACTACTCATTTAATTTTTTTTAAAAAATAACAAATGTATTCTATAGCCGAAAGTGGTTAAATTGAAAGTCAAATATGTAAATACGAACTTCCAATTGAGTGATAGTGATGAATATGAAAATGTTCAACTAGTATTAGATGATTTATGTCTAGAAAATTCTACGGATTCCTAAAATTAAGTCGGCGAAAGATACCTATTTAAAAAGGCTACAATATTTAAATATCGATTCTAATTGCATGCTGGAGGAGAAAGGTTAGTTGTTTTTCTCAATAAATATTGATGTTCAATTTAAAAAAAAAATTTTAATTTATGTTAAGTATTTATTCCTGTGTATTTCCTATGTACGGCAGCCAATTGTAATAAAACCCGATAACGCATTTTGACAGGAAATGGAAATATACTTCATAATCATAACACTGTGGAAAATCGGTTAAGTAAACTGTGATCTTTATGAAGCATTTAAACATATTCGAAATTTTAATAATTATAACTCACTAACTATTGAACCATTTTTACTATGACAGACAAAAAGGGCCAACATTTTGAAAAAAGATAAGCCATCAATTATTTTGTTATAATTTGAAGCTCCAGCCCCCTTCCCCGAAATCCAAGAATTGTTTATTAAGTCTGCTTATTATGTCCTATCAAATGTAAATCGTAAAAATTCAATATCATTTTATAAAGAATTATTAGTAACAACGAACAAGTTATCATGTAAAGGGTCTGACGATTTTGATCGTAACGATTATACCATTGAGATCGATACATTGTGCTTAATTTTGACGTACGGT